GTGGAGGGGAGTTATGGTGGGAAAAAAGAGGAACCAATGTAATAATCTGAACAATAAAGATTTAATTAAAAAAAAAAAAAGAAAAGCTGAAATGAAAACAGACGTGGCCAGAATAGGCTAAGGCAGAGTGCTCCGAGAAATGTTAATCGGTGTTATGGGGAAGCATGATTCAGGGGTCAACTTGGAACCCTGCGTCAAACCACTTTCAGCAGATTTCTCTACTGCGGGACTTCTCAGGACCTTTGAAATGCCATCAGACCTGGAGATTTCTGAGAGGGTGATACGGTTCGCAAAGCTCATTTTCCCCATGGGACTGTCTTCTTCTGAACATCCCTGGGCAAATGCTGAACTAAGAGAAGTCTTTAGAATCATGCTCTCTGGGGACTAGAAATGAAAACTCTGAGTGCTGTGGCTTACTGAGCATGCCTTTCTCTCAGCAGGGAAAGAGGGAGAATAAAGGAGAAATCCAGAGACCCGGAGTGGGACAAAAGCAAAGAGGTGTTTGAAGGGAGGCAGAAGGCCCTGGAGGAACATGTGGATGACTTGACCAGAAAGAAGGATGTATCAGCCCTAACCGGTTTGGCTCAGTGGATAGAGCGTCGGCCTGCGGACTGAAGGGTCCCAGGTTCGATTCCTGTCAAGGGCATGTACCTTGGTTGTGGGCACATCCCCTGTAGGGAGTGTGCAGGAGGCAGCTGATTGATGTTTCTCTCTCACCGATGTTTCTATCCCTCTATCCCTCTCCCTTCCTCTCTGTAAAAAATCAATAAAATATATTTTAAAAAAAGAAGGATGTATCAAAAGCATGGCTGCTGCCCAATGCAGGATGAGTGGTCCCTTGTCAGCATCATCACCATCATGGTCACCAGAGAAGCTAACCTTCCCTGTGGCCTCCTCACTACTCTACAGATTCTTGAAACATACGATGCACTTGGGTCCCATTTTACAGATGAGGAAACAGTCACAGAGAAGTTAACTCCCCCAGAGTCAGAGATTATAAAGCTTCTAGGTGGCAGTGCATAGATTCAACTCTGGAAGTCTGAACCCTGAGCCCACGTTCTCACCACTGCACCGCACTGCTCTACTTCTAACTGCATTAGATGGAGGGCTGGAATTTCTTTTTTTTTTTAAAATATATTTTATTGATTTTTTTACAGAGAGGAAGGGAGAGGGATAGAGAGTTAGAAACATCGATCAGCTGCCTCCTGCACACCCCCTACTGGGGATGTGCCCGCAACCAAGGTACATGCCCTTGACCGGAATCAAACCTGGGACCCTTCAGTCCGCAGGCCGACGCTCTATCCACTGAGCCAAACTGGTCAGGGCGGGCTGGAATTTCATTACGTAGCACAGACAGGATACTGTATAGAAATGCAGCACCAACACTTTGGAGGAAAAGACAAAACAAACCAACCAATGTCGCTTTGCACACGGCCAA